CGGTGGTTGGGGGGAGACCGGCGCGTGACGGGTTCTGCTTTGCCTCCGGCCCGCCGATGTCGTGGGGAGGAGGACATATTTCACAGCCGTAGTAGGAAAAGGATGCCGATGGTCTTTCTCCGGCGCTGGGTGTGTGATCCGAGCGCTGCATTGGTCTGATGCAAACTGGAGGGCGTGCGTCGGCCAGAAATAATAAAAAAGAGGAGGAAGAGAAGATGGTTGTATATTGGCAGCTTCAGGATTTTGTTTTGTTTTGTTTCCCCCCGCCTTTTTCTTTTCTTTTCTGGGACATCCAGGGTTATGTTTTGCGGAATGGCTTCCCGGGAGTTCTTGCCCTGGAGCCAGGCTTTTTTCTTCATTAATCTGGTTTCTTGGCATGTAACGGTAGACGATTACATTATAGGTGCCTGATTCATCTGTGAATTGATGAGATTTTTAAAGGGATCAGCTTGATACCTTCCCAAGGTAGCCTTAAATCTTATGATAAAAGAGATTTGTTAAAACTATTCCACACAGATCACGCGTTTCTGGTAGAGTGCTAGTCACCCAGGAGCTAATATAAAGACTAGCATAATTTTAGGCTTGGGTTACTAATTTTAAAGGATTGCCCACACAGTCTACTTTTTATCCTGCCTCAGCAACAAGATCCATAGTGTTTGCTCACCTCTGGCCAATCTCAAATGAGAAGGTGCTGCTGCCAGAACAGTTCCCTTCTCTTTTACTGGGGTCTACAGGGGGTTGGGGTTATCTAAAATCTTTCTTGAATTGTTGGTTTAGTTTTGAACCTTGATCTGACCCTTTTTAAATGACACCAAAGCTCCAGCTGATTTATAATATCTCAGGCTATCTTGCCTTGGCCTGGTGCTTGATGTTAATTTCATTTGTCACTTTCAGAGGTTTCTGCTTTTTAGGATTACAGTAGGATTTTTAGGATTACAGTATTTCTATTTGTCAGTGGGAATATCAATCTCTCAGTAGATCTGCATTTGGTCTTGCATTATATTGATATTGCTGTTTGAACTTAAAGGGGAAAAAGAAAGTAGCTGTGCAAGGGAAGTGTCTAGTCTCTTTGGCAGCCAAGCACAAATGGAGCTGCAGGCATAGAGCCCAGTTAGTTTGATGGGAGAGGATGGGCTCACTGCAACATCGGCTGGTCCACCTGGAACCCAGACATTCGCTGACCTCTGGAGGCCCATCCTCCAAGTACCATGGATTGTCCATGTGAAAAGTCTTTGCAGTTGCTAGGAAGATGCTTCCATTCTTCAAAAGCACCTTGAATCAGCTTCATCCTGCCTTAGCAATGGATTGGCCACAAGATGGAGGTTATAGTAATGGGGGCAGGTTCAGAGTACGGCAAACAGAACAGGCAGCTGAACTTTTGTCATACATGGAGATGATCTGCAGATATCAATGGGGGATAAACAGCTCAATTTCAGTTGATCTGGTGGATCTGAGTGTGCCTTAATTGGGCTTCAACCCATGATTATTAAAAATATTTTTTTGCTGGAAAATAGAATACAAATGCTATTGATGCTCACTGAAACAACTGAGCTTTAAAAACAATGTTAGCCAAACTTTTAATGAAACCATCCTGCAATAGTTTTGAATAGATTTACTGAGGTGTTTGCAATTTCTTTATCTTTTTAAATTTTATTTTGTTAAAGACATAGCTATGCAAACACATATACACAAAAACAGTAATTGTGTTAAATAACGCAACTATTGACTATACAAAAAGTTATTCTTTGCTACAACATGCCATTTGTTCATGATTATCCAAAAAACTAAGGGTTGGATATTTTCAGCTTCTTGCTTAATATGTACTAGAAACCTAGAGCATATTGAAGAAAAATATTTCTGTAATTAATATTTCTCTTAGCCTCTCCTGCTTGATTACATTTTCAGCTAAGGATATATTTCATAGTCTCTGGCTGTTTAAATATCCTGCTCCATTCTTCATAAATAAGCTACAATCTAGCTTGACAGGAGACAAATAGTTTTTTATTTGATCTTCTATATGCAAAGTATTGTATGGTGATAATAGAGTCAATTAAAAGCACAACTATAATGATGTGGGAAAATACCTGAACAAAGCTGAAGTTTTCTTAAGTTTTCGCGGATACTTACATGTATGGTATTCAGCTTTGTTCGGGTATTTTCCCACGTCATTATAGTTGTGCTTTTAAAGTTGTAGCAATGTTTCGGCAGAATCTCATCTGCCATCATCAGGCTTCTGTATTGTGTTCGTCTGTGAGTCAGACTTTTACAGTTGTTTCTGTTTTAAATTTGGGGCTAGCCTACTGCTGTGCCAGAATGGTTTTTTCTTCATCCTGATTGGTTGGGAGTCTTGGTCTGTTGGGAGTCTTGGTCTGTTTATTGGTCTTGGAGTTTGCTGTGTTCTGCTTGATTGGTGTTTCTAATATCTTCTGTCTGTTTTGTGGCTTTTTTTGTGTCTTGATTGGCTGGCAACATTGTGTTCCTGTATTGGAGGCTTTTAGTGCAGCTTGGCTCCGAGTAAATGGACGGCTATCATTTGTTAGGAAGCTAGGTTTCATCTGGGTGCCTGGTTGGGGTGTGTTTGAACTGGAGGTATGAGGGGGGATCTGTTTGTGCCCAGGTGTTTGCCTGGCTAGTGGTGTGGAGATTTTTTTGTTTGTGAGTGCAGGCTTCCAAATAATTGACAGACTGGTGGAATCATCTCTTCTATTCATGCTTTCAGGTCTTTTTTCAATCTCTATGGCTTCTCTGATAATTCTGTGGCTGGGGTTTTCTGTAGTGGCTAGGGTTTTGGTGCCATTGAAGTCGATGCTATGACCTGTGGCTTTCATGTGTTGGACTAGTGAGGAAGTGTGTTCCAGATTTTTTACTGCATTTTTGTGTTCATCCAGGTGGGTACTTATTCTTCTATTGGTCTGTCCAATGTATGTGGCCAGGCATGATGCACAGGGGACTTCGTATATGCCTTGGTTTTCCAGGTCAATTTTATCTTTGGGGTTTCTAAGGATGGCTGCTATTTTTCTGTCTGTTTTGAAGGCAGTCTTGATGTGATGCCTGTGTAGTATCTTACTGATTTTGTCTGTAGTACCTCTTATGTAGGGCAGGACAGCTGTTCCATAGGTCTGTTCATCTTCTAGGTCTCCATTATGTCTCAGTGTGTTTTTGTGGATCAAGGCGGTGATTTTGCTTTTGTGGAAGCCGTTGGCTGTCAGTACTTTAGTCAGGGTGCATAGTTCAGTCTTAATGTGTGTCTTGTCTGCCAGGCATTTGGTTCTAGCAATTAGTGTTTTGGCCACGGAGTTTATCTGTGCTGGGTGGTGGTGGGATTGGGCGTTGAGGTAGCGGTTGGTGTGTGTTTTCTTCTGGTATATGGTGTGTCCTAGTGTGCCATCTGTTTTTTTGTAGATTAGTACATCTAGGAATGATAGTTTGTTTGTTTCCGTTTCCATGGTGAACTTGATTTTGGGGTGTGTGCTGTTTAGGTGTGTTAGGAAATTGTTTAGGTTTTCTTTTCCATGGGGCCAAATCACAAATGTTTCATCGATGTATCTTAACCATAGTTTGGGTTTGTGGGTGGCATTAGCTAGGGCTCTGGATTCAAATTCTTCCATGAACAGGTTTTCAATGGCGAGTGACAGTGGTGATCCCATAGGGCTCCTTCAATTTGCTTGTATCTTTGTCCTTTGTATATGAAATATTGTTGGTTAAGCAGTGTTCTGTTAGTTCCATGAGGTGTTTAGCTGGTTGGTATTTATTTTTGATGATTTCAAGAGTTTCTTTTATTGGGACTTGAGTGAATAGTGAAACCACGTCGAAACTTACAAGCAGATTTTTTTGTTCCACGTGTAGATCTTTGATCATTTCCAAGAGGTGGTATGAGTTTTGTACATGGGATGTCATTTGATGGAAATGACTCCTGGAATTGCTATCTCAATCTAAGGAGGATATTCATTTTAATTGCAGATCTTTTCCCAACCAGAAGTATTGTAATCTAGGTTACTTGTCTCTCTTCCTGATAGAAATAAATCCTGATGAAATTAATTGTGTTTATCCTAGAAGCCTTTTTTCCAGATCTAAGACTGCCACCCACATTCTTTAATCCTGGTTTGCTAAAGGGTTTATTTATGCATCATGTGTTTTCTCTTATTTATGTTGAACTTTATATAGTTGGATTCTTTGCAAAATGCAAACATGGTACTACATGTTTGCTTGTAAAAGTGTTAATCTTATAGTCCCTGTGGCTGATTCAGGAGGAGATGTTTCATACAGTAGAAACACTAATCTGTGAAATGCCAAATAAAGCTATTCCTGCCTGCTGCTTTCTTACCTTAAATGCTAAATTCTCTGCCATTGTTTTTTTCTGTTTATTCATCTGTTGAAAATATTAAGATAATATTTCTAGGAAATATTTTGAATTAATTTAGAACTACCATACCTTAAACAGATGAGAAATTTAACTTTTGTTTACTACCAATAGCCCTGGAATATGTAATCTGTGGTTTCCTTGAAATAAAACGTTTCTAGAAAAAATGGAATTAGGTCTATATTTTTTATGGATTATGAAATAATTATAGTGGTCCTGAAAAATCCCTCGACACCCAAAGCGGTAAAAGAAGAAATAAAAAAGAAGAAAAGCCTGAAAGAAATACATCAGGAAAAATGAATAGCATCTAATTGCAAATATACATTCAGAATAAAATAAATAAACATTTATTTAATATCTTATTCATATGTGTTTTTGTAAGGTCTGAATAGACTTAGCAATAATGGACTCCTATAACTGAAAATGAAATGAAAATAAGTATAGTATATATGTGCTTTAGCTGCCTGTCAGAACTATAGGTGAAAGGCATTTAAGGATGCCAATGACCATGATACAAGTTAGCCTATCTGTTTTTATAGGCCAGGGGTGTCCAACCTTGGAAACTTTAAGACTTGTGGACTTCAACTCCCAGAGTTCCAACCCCTGTTATAGGCAGTCTCAGCCTCCCTTAGCCAAGTCATGCCTTCTAGTTGCCTATGATGCAGAAAGGAAGTGGCAATTATCGTAATTGGGTAACTGAGGAAGTATTGCCATGTCACCTGCTGCCCCAGACTGCGCATATATCTTGTCCAGAGAATATGTTCTGTAAATGAATTTGTATGATTGCTTCCTAGGAGAGAGCATGATCTATTTGCTCTGCTATTTGCCTATTTAGGTGACTGCCATTAGTTGAGGAGA